TGTTCTACCCTCAAATCTTACTCCATCAGCGATTCGTTTTTTCATTCATCTTGTGGTATATTCATTGGGCAAGTGGCACAATTAGTTGTAAAATACTGGGATTCCAGAACTAAGTTAATAAAGACAACCTTCTATTCTTCACAAATGTGGCTGCCACTTTTGAGGGATCTCTTTCAAACAGACGCTAGCTACTAATTGTATCCTACGTGCATCCAAATTGTTCAAATGATGCAAGAATTAGGTACAAAACAAACTAGCCCCGACTTGTCCACTTGTGAACTATCAAACGCAAGACTAAAAAGTTAAAGGGATACGATGACCTGCTTGGTTAACCCTGTGTAGTCAAAATGTATGTCCACTCATATACGGCCCATTCAGACAAACGGGACGAGAACACTAATACATTTGAAATCCAAAGGATCAATTACTCATGCACTAACGCTGTGAATTTACCAGACAAAGTGGATGGATCGTGAGAACTGATAACGCTAATAATATCTATGTGATAGGCATTACTTTAAATCATAGGATAATTTAAAGCAACTAGACAGGGAATCTCAACTACGACTTCATGTGAGCGCTTACTGAAATTTCTGTTATGGAAGGAAACGGAAGTATCTATCTGTTATATACTATATCAATAATTCCAGTGTTCCGAAAAAACTTGTTTTACACGAAATTTGAATTTATTTTTCTAGAACTTGAACCTTGGATATTTCGGTGTCATACTGTATTGATTTGGTATTTTGGAAATTTCGCATTGGAAAAAAAAAATTGAACGTCTGTTGTGCAAATGTTATAGGTATTGTTAAAACAACATATTTGAGTTGATTGTTTGTAGTCTGGGAATAAACTTTCGGTACCTGGAATCAGGCTGTGTTGTTTTCCGGTTGCAATTATGAGTGAATCGATTGACAGTAATTAATAACTGACTCTAGCAAAATTAGGACGCCATAATTTCTCATCAAACAATCTTACGTTTTACGGAAAATCATGTCATACAAACGGCTCCAAAAAGTTACAAGCAACCTACAAGCATAATTAGTCTGACCCTCCGAATATGAAGACTTGAAAACATTAAACTGGATATGATGCAAACAAACTAGTGATAGCAGCACTTGTCGACAGTTCAAAAAAACAAGAACTTGGTGCACAAGAGAGAAAAATAATGGGACTCAGTAACAAAAGAAGTTGATTAATAAATTTTCACTCTGTTTGGAAAGCTTATTCCGGAGTTCCTTAGTTGTTGGGTTACAACCACGCAAACAAAATTGGCGGCAGTATCGCAGGCCTCCCAGTCAGTGCTTTCAAACAATCGGGCCGTCCGTACAGATTGCATCATCATCGGTTCAATTTGCAACACCAGCATTCTCAGAAGTGAATATGGGCGGCAGGTTGGTGTACAGCGTCTAAACAGGGACACTTTTGCTTGTCCGGAACTGGTTCCCTCTGCTGTCACAAGAGACGTGACTTCAGTTGTAGCAACACCACTTAGTACTATGTTCTCACATACTACCACGCAAGTTGTTTATTATTTTGTATTATTGATATGCGCACAAGAAATTTTTACAATTCATACGTTAAATGGATAACTATTGATTAATACTATGCATTTCATCGTAGTGTTTTAGGACATTTTGATGTATTAATTCTTGCTGCTCATGCAGAAATATATTATTATTATTATTATCATCACTACATCTATTGTTGTCCTCAACTAACCCGTAGGTCTACTTTTTCCGTATGTGTTGATAACACATTTATGGTGATAAGTAATGTAAAATCAGGATGTGTCTGATGATTATTCAGCTTTGTCGCTGTAATCGCTGATACTCATTGCTATTAAAAATTATAACCACTTTGTTTCCACTATGAATCCACAGTCTTTAAAAACAGTTATTGATATCGTGTTACTTATATATAGCTAAGTCCAAGAATGGTCAGTGGTATACAAACGTTAGAAGCCACCTAGGTTTGGATATCTGACTATTTCACACAAACGGTAGAGTAATTCTTTGGATTTGGCTGACTTTATCCATTTCTTTTAAAAAATAGACTCTGTTTTATACTTTTGGATGGCTAGAGGAAGAGCGGGGAAAGAGCACGGGAAAGTCATACCTCACCAACGTGGTTTTGGGTAGCCCTCCCTCAGCATTTCCTCAGATGTTCTTGTTTCATTATCATACGTTCCATTCTCTCACTAGCACTGATTCCCATGTAGAGGGCATGTGCAACGTGCCATGTACGAATATTTGTGGAAAGGTAAATTCTACCGCGATAATAATCTAGGGATGTACAATACATCATTAGATTATCTCTGAATGTTCATCAAACGGTGGTCGCCTTTGATTGTGCAAATATAATATAGTCAAACACTGAATGAGTTAGCAGTTCTCCATTTGGCTTTAGGAACCACATTGACAAGTTTCTCTTCACCAATGTGGTCGAATCGACATTTCATTGTAAGTCGATTCTTGCAGGAAGCTAAGGTAGCAACCTAAGTTGTGTTGTTAAGAAATAACTGGTAATGACAAAAGACTACTGCTCACTTGGTTATTTACTTACTTGCCTTGTGTATGCATCATATTTCCTATCATTGTCTATTGAATGTTGAAAAATTTGTGTTTGAATGAGAAAATCTCGCGCTCCACAATCTGAGTAAAGATATGCTTCAATCGAAATTCTGATTCTTACTTTGGATAGTCGAGGGACAACTACAGGCAACAATTTTTCACTAACACAAGTTCCCAGACAATTCGAAGCTGGTACACAATCACACCAATTATCAGAGGAAATTGACTTGGTGCACCTTCCGGAAAAACGACCAGTAGAATTTCTTAGCAGATGTTTCAAAAGTAATGGCGTCCTCAAATTGTTAAGATTCATACGACTATTTGTTATCCATAAACTCTTCACCTCAACAACACGGCTTCAGTAAGGGTCACAATTTTACAGCTGATATACTATATACGTTGGACAGATGAGCAACCGTTAGTCATTGCAAGGGGAAGGTACCTTTGATATACCCTGATTTCGAAAAAACGGTTAATAGGGTCAGCCGTATATGTCCCATTATTAAGTTGAAACTGTTATTTACTAAGTTGCCATTTACACACTAATTATATACATGACTAAATAATTGTCTTTTTATGATCAGGGTGTACGTTACATGTTTTTAGGACATGGAATACCCAAATGAGTTTCCACAGGGTTCACTTCTAGGACCACTTCTCCCTTTAATCTATGTAAATGACCTCATCAAGTATCGTTGAAGTTATTAATTTTTGCTGACGTTTAAATTTGCAGAGGATTCCATAACTAAGTTGATAAATTGGCACTTTAATAGGACCGGGGTTGACTTCAAAGCTTTGCGGATAACAGTGGATTTAATCTCACCGCTTCAAATAGCAAAGCAGTTCATTTGAAACATGTTACAAACTATGCATACAATTTAGAAAATGACCCTTCAAAGTTGTGGAAGGTTGAAAACATTTCTAGGAGTCTTGGTAATTATGATATGGAGTCATATGCTGACTGCGACAAAATTGCGTCTCTACCGAACCTTACACTGATAACAACGAGGTGCGCTTTTGATACGGGACTCAAGCAGCGAGCCCTCAATTCAATTATGAAACGGAAGGTCTAAATGACTTTAACGGCGAGGGACCAAAATAGTGAAAGGTCTCTCTGGCCTATCTTATGAAAACAGACTGAGATGCCTATTTTAATATCTTACTGTGGGTTACGATGTGATCTTATACTGTCTTACTGTATACTGAACGATGATCTCGGTATTAATGTCACATCTTTTCATTCCACATTGAACTGATTATTCAGGAGGAACTCGTGGGAACGTCCAGAACCAGGACCAAATCACTTACGTCTGGAGTTCTGTTTCTCATACTGAGTGGTTAATTACTAGTATCCGCTAACAGGGCACGTACACAGACTCAGATGCTAGACACAGACTCAGATGCTTTTCAAGCAGATCTAAATAATATAATTAACTGGTCTAAAGAGTGGCTGATGCCTATCAACGCGGCAAAGTGTGTCTAAATGCACTTCGGGGACTCAAATGTTAATAGATATAACATAGGGGAAGTGCAATTACCAGTGGTTTGGTCTCATAAGGATCTGGGGGTGACAGTCAGTCAGGATCTTAAGACGAAGACCCATTGCCGGGAGGTCGCAGCTAAGGGGTTCCGAACCCTCTGGGCTTTAAAACGGACATTCACAAAGCTAGATACTATCATGTCCAACAAAGTATACACGTCTTTAGTGAAAACTAAACTTGAGAACTGCGTTCAGGCTGCAAGCCCATGTTTAAAAGGTGACTCGGACATCCTAGAAAAAGTACAGAGGGCAGCTACCCGTGCAATTCCAGAACTCCTGGGTTTACCATACAAAGAGCGGCTTGAAAAGCTAGATCTCTTCACACTGTCCTATCGCAGATTAAGGGGAGATTTAATTTTGATGTACAGAATACTGAGAAACAATTTTGGACCTAACTTACCCTCTCTTTTTCTTCCCACTAGATCGGGACATCTCAGAGGACATAGCAGGCGAGTAGAAAAGCCATGAACGAACAAAATACCCGTGGCATATAGGTTCTCACACCGAGTCATCAATACTTGGAACCTGCTGCCCGAAGTAGTGGTGTCCGCACCCTCAATTGACTCGTTCAAGAGAAGTCTGGACACTCACAGCAGCATACTAGAAAAGGAATAACATAGGCCATAGGCCTTCTGTCCTTACTTTACAAATCTGAATATGAATCTGAATCTGTAATATCAGCAACTTTGTTAGCACATTCAAAGTGAAATTGGATCTTCACAGTACTACAACTTTGAATGATTAATAAAGGCCGGTTGACCTCATAAACTTATTACTAAAGACCGAAATCCTTTGTCTTTTCACACAGTACCGAATTTCACAGGCTGGGTGTTTTAAGCGGTCGTTAGTACAACCTTAGGGTATCCGCGCTGCTTTTAGTTATTGTATCAAGGCTGCGGTTTTAATGTCCCCCAGTGTATTCTCATCTGTCAATCAAAGAGAGTTCTTTCACCTCACGGCAGAAAAACGTAAACTCTATTTAAAGCTTCACATAATGTTATAGGAAAAACACTGCCTATTATTGGTGTGGAGAATTTTGAATGTAGAAGAAATCAAGCATACCATCTTCATTCAGTTTTAGCTCCGGTAAGACTGAAGTTTAGAAGTTCATATTCCTAGAATTCCCCACCGTTCGCTTGTGACTTTTCTCCAAGTATGAAGCATCTTGAACTAACCGGTTTTAGCTCTTACCGATCTCATTTTAATCGCTCAGGAGGATGGCTTAGTCCACCTGTACGACACTTCTGTTACTGGTACGCAAGCCTTTCTCAAACGTAAGTCCTTAGTTAAAATATCATTCTACGTGCCGTTTTTCATGACACTTTTGCCCTCTACAGATAAAACAACATCACTCGCTTAGTTAGTGTTAAACGTAGTCTTGGCTTTATGGTTAAAACTCAAACCGTACTCAGTAAATTATCAGAAGCTGGGTTGTAATATGCTTATCCTAAAGTCTGATTGGCCCAAAGTCTCTCACATTGAAGTGAGTGTGTTCGCTTTTCATTCTTTAGATTATGAGTCCTAGTAATATTATAATCGGTTAAACTGGCTCTTAACAGTGGTTCGGAGTTTTCAACTCCCCCCCCTCCTGATTTCATCGAAAACTCCCACAAAGTGTAGGTCAAGATGGACCGGACAGATCTGTACCTGTCAAGTTAGTTACTTGACACCTCACAACATTATGGCTTATTTCCCTGCAGAAAAATGACTGGTGCCTGGTTGGATTAACTAAATCTACTATACGAGAATGTAATATACTGCCTGCTTTGGTTAATATAGTAACAACTAATAGTTGCAGCTTTCCTCAAATGATCGTGATGAACAGACGGGTGCAAGGAATTCTAACCTCACGTTAGTTCATAAACTATCGTACCAAATTTCAAGAACTTTTTTAATAGTTCATTAGTTTATATTCAAGGCACAATCACTAGCATATTTCAATTACAAGGTAAAGTCAGGAAATTTATTATGATATTTCTTTGCACCTTCTCGTTATACCAGCAAACTACAACTCAGCCTAGAGAAAAGTTGAGACTGGATTCATCAGTAAATATGTACCATGTGTTCAGTTGTCTGCATAAGAAGTAACTTGTCTAGGTGTGTATCTGTTCAGATCACAGTTCACACCCGCTTGATGAGGTGACATTTATGAATAGAAAGGAATAGGGTTTTAAAAATAACATCTATTTCAGTGAAAAACTCAATGTAATCCCAACAAAACGAGTGTTGTCGAAGAGTGGGTAGTGTAACTTGCTTTTGCAAAGCACAAATAAAGAACAAATGCAGCTTTATCACAACTTAGCATTAAAGACGAAAACATATGGCTGATCAAAATCCGATTCGTTAAGGAGAGTTAAAACTCATGACCACTGGCTAAATATCAAGTGTCTTATCGATTGTTCCTATCCTGTACATTGGAAAATTGTTTCTCCCTAGTGTGAAGTGTTTTTTGTAGTACATATTCACTACCTTGTCAGGGGTCGGTGTTCAGGCCTCGTAAATTGACCTAAGTTGGAAATATAGACCACAGGGTGTCAGTTCTATTGTTCAAAAATAATGCACTCACCATGAACCTTAAAGGTCTTGCATTCGATCTCTGGCGAGGTCGTTGGTGTGCAGTTCTAGGGAGTCTCATGTTATGATAGACAATCGTACATTACTCTTTAGTTCTCAAAGTTTGGTTGGCTGAAGTTAATCCGTGGCATAAATTGTTGATAGTTCTATTCATTAAATCATACGCTTAACCAAATGAAACGACTTCAATTTTCACAATTATTCACATATAAAGCGATACGTTTTTGGTTACTAGATTATGAAGCACATAATAACGCAGTATTCGACGTTAAGTGGCTTTCGTCTGGATCAAGCTTTCTGACAGCCTCCGGAGATCAGTCTATTAGATTAATCGATGCTGAAACAGGTGTCATAATACAACAATTCTTTGGACATACTATGTCAGTACGTAGTCTTTCATTTATGCCCAGTGATTGTCGTAAGTAATTCTTTCTGTATGTAAACCTTTTGTTAAAGTTTTTGGACCAACTCAAATCACTTATTCAGATCACTGTAGAAATGTGCGAATAATTGGTTACGATTAATCGTATTAAAATTTAGTTCGTATTGTCGATATTTAAAAAGCGCTTACCGTGGTGTCTGTCCGTAGTTTTGATGACTTTGTTCCCATAGTGAGTAGTCAAAAAATAGTCTCTATGTACAGTGTAATGATACGGATAAAACAACTGTTTAAACTACGTTTCGTAGTTAAACTGCCTGTTAGCAAAGTGGTATTTGCATCCGAACTTGAAAGTTACCCATATCATATTCTTTGGCTATCAGCATCATAGTTTCGAAGTCAAATTCATTCCATCTCTGACCCGGTGTTTTATTTATTTATATATGTAAATACAAACATTGGTACAAAGAAGCACCAAATAGATATGTGCCACATAAATCATTTAATTTGTGTGAGGCCTGGGATACTGCTAGGGCGTCCAAACTAGCATACATAGTTAAAACTTACTCTTAATGAGTACCAGGTTTGTTAGCTGTTTGTGTTTAATCAAGTATTATATAAATGCACTAAACGTCTTATATTTCATCTGGTTACATACTCTATGAATCAATCACTGCTAGGTTCTCCGAAAAGTATGACAATAGTATGATGATATAATAAGAAAAGGATTTATGCAAGATATATTCAAGAAATTTTTCATAAGACAGTCATTGCAGCACTATCTTTGGTTCTAAGCTGTGTTTAATCATGCCTCAGACCACTTGGCTTCATGGTTCAATAGACCTTATTCGGGCAGTTGGTACATAGTAAAAGGTGCTAATCAAAAATATGGTGTTAAGTGAAAAATTGATTATGTTTCTACCATTTTTTTCAGGCAAAGTGAAAAAAATTGATATTTTTGCAAACTAGTTATGTATCACACAATAAACAAACTCATATAACATTAACTGGTTCCTGAAAATAAGTTCAATAATTTATGAATAATTATTATCGTGTGCAACCACATAGCAAATTATGTAAATTACTTGCATTATGTTTTCAGTAGATTCAGGCAGTGACCAAACATGGAAAACTGCCAAACACTAAGCTAAGTCATTCAAGTTGGAAAGAGACCTGTTCCCCGGTGGTTGCTTTCAGACTTGTGCACTGCGATGTAGCTTCTGTTATACTGTTAGTAAGTTCGATACGTTCCTTATTGTCTAAATGTAAATTAATTTTGCGGGACTACCTGACGCCTTTCTCTTCACTCATCTTACGTGATAAACTATTTAAAATATTCAATGTTATGCATCAGACCGTAAAATAATAATAATAATAATGTGAATTGTTTGACAGTAAATCGCAGCGAGAATAGTTTTCAGTGAATATCATAATTTTCATTATCATTATATTTGTGCCGCATCGTCGGTCTACTACGGGTGACCGTGAGTATGACCGCAAACGAAGAATGTTACATACTGAAATTGGGCAAAGCTTGCGTAAGGACCGAGAAACCTGGTGGTCGGAGCGTGCTAGTGAGCTGGAAGCAGCAGCTGCATCTGGTAATTACCGGAAGCTCTTCCAACTAATCCGAGCCACTGGCAGCAAGAAGTCTGGTGTGAGCGAAACAATCTGCGAGGATGACGGGATGCCAATCACTAGCTTCTGTTGGTCCTTCACGACTCCCTGGCTGGGGTCCGAGAGACGGTGTAACACAGTGGCTAGAGACGTTATCAGATATGGCTCAGAATAGAAGCCAGTGGAGATCCTGCTGTAACCTTCTTTTACTTTCTTCGTAAAAAGCGGTTGCTTCTTCCTTAACTGAAAGATTTCTCCCGATTGTGCCTTTTCGTTTCCCCCATTTTTGTTCTTTTTTTTAATATAGATATTCCCTACATTCCTTACCTTTCTTTTTCCCTTCTCTTTAAATTCTCATTGTTTTGTGTGGCGCATATATATTTCGTGCACCCCTGTACCAATATTTATGTGTTTAAATAAATAAATAATCAGACCGTAGCGTTATTTACATTCTGGTTAATGGAAAATGGGTGAAGTTATTTTTAATCAATACGAAGTTAAGTGATCTTTTTACTCTGTTATCAACAACAGATGTAGGTATATCCTGTATCTAAAATCAACATGATATACTACTAGGAGTTTTCTCAATCTTTAGTGGAAAGGATAAAACAAATCACTCGTCATCATCTTTTGCTACCATTATGGGGATTTTCGAACATCTGTTAAGTTATTTTCATTCTTACTGTAGTTCTTTTCTTAAAAGACAAATATTGAACATCAGACATGTTAAAAAGCTTTGTACAAGAAACGTCATTCCCTCCACGGTAACATTTTGGTGTGCTAACTCAATTCCTAAGTCTCTGAGCTTAGCTCCACATTCGATGTATCATTTGGGTTTAATAACATATCTGCTCTACCTGCTAAGCACTTTTAATTCCCTTCTGTATGTTAATTCAATTTTGCTCTAGATTAATTTATTTTCTTATACACGAACTGTACTTTTTGCTCTGTTAATCCATTCAGATATATTTGCATCTACTTCACGCGATGGCAGTATACGTATGTGGGATACTCGGGTTAAACCGGACGCACTAAATTTTCGAGGTATTATTTTCCTAATTTAAATGAACACTTTTTGTAGCTTTGTTATTATATTACTGTAATTGTTTAGTAACAATTTATCATATAATGTGAGCTGCATTGTACCGCAAAATGATACCATTATTATAGTATATTTTGAGTTCAGTAATCTTATTCCATTCAACAATAAAAAACAAAACGATCATGTGGGTGTCTGGTACTTTACATCGTAACTAGAATAATCCCTTCAAATTCTAAAATATTATTACTGTGTTTCCGAAAAAGATGCCAATGTATGTAGAATTTTCATCTGTAGAGTTTTAAATCGAATATAGGGACCATTAGCTTAATCCGTTTACTATGATTCGATGGTTTTCCACCTGGAAAACGTTATAGCTATTTATATAATATATTGCTTAGTCATTTTGATTAGTTCTTAACATTGTTACTTGTAGTGTGTAGTTTGCTATTGGCACCAACTTTTTGATCGCCATCACTATGATCATACTATCATACCCGTTTGTATAATCGCAACTTGTTTTGCTCGACTGAGCATTGACGAATAAACGGCTTTCTGTATCCAGTTATTCCTATACGTCCAGCTGTTATATTAAAGAGACATTTCTGTGCACAACACATCAAGCAAAAAGCACTAATATGATAATTATCGTGGGCAACTTTTCACTTCATAAGCATAAACTATGTTGAATGAGGTGTTACCATATATTATATATTAATTTTGTCTGCTGGATAATAATTGAATTCACTAGTTAATCTAAGCTTTATATATATATATATATATATATATATATATATATATATATATATATATATATATATATAAATGCATTTTAATTGCTTCAATTAAAAAGGAATCTATATTCCTTCTAAGTGTATTGAGTCGTATTCCTTTGTGTTCTTTGTTACTTACAACTTAATCAGTGAATAGACTTGTTATCTTAATATTTATCTGTTACATCTTCATGATACATCTTTTTCTAAGAAAACCGCAGTGAACATTAAATGTAGTGGTCTACCGATGTCAGTCTTTCTTGTTCCTATTTTACTATTATTATTATTATTATTATTATTATTATTAACTAGGCTCACCAGGAATATCAAGTGTTGGAGTTTTACCACAATGTCATGTACCGTTTTTGCCTAATTCTTCTAATACAGACGGAAGAAGAACACGTACTCCAAAGCGTTCAGCGGTATGTCGTACGAAATTTAATTAAATATTCTTCACATTGCTTGTTGCTCATGAAATTTTAATATCTTAGTTGCTATTAGTTACTGAAATATTGATAGCTGTAATGAAATGAGACTTTCATGGTGAACTAAACTGTCTAGTCTTTCACGTATTAAAATTCCAACCTTCAATTTTGAGCGAATCATCATTTACTTATTTGAACACATGAATATTGGAACAAAGGGGCACCAAATACATATGCGTCACACAATTTTTGTGTGTGGGCTGTGATATTACTCATACCGAAGCAGGTTGTCTAAGTAAAAACAGTATTTGTTTATGCATATATATGTGTACGCTTATCGTCCTCTCATTTTCGTAAACAACACCCCCGCCACTGGAAGGCAGTGAGTAAAACTTCCCTGGAAGTGACTGTATACGCGTGGCCGTGTGAGAGCATTCGGAGAGGGAGAAAGAGAGAGCGGACTCTTCTAATTCTCGGCCGTATCACGGCATTTGGGGTATGGTAAAATCAAGTTAGAAAGAAATCAAATGTATACATAGGATTGTACAAGTAAATAATTCATCATCATCTACAGTAAATTGGTCGTTAGATTTTACTAATTATATACTTATTACATTTTTTCATTGCAGACTGATGCACAAAGTGTCACTTCGGTCTTGTTTGTGGATGATAATACCTTTTTGTCTGCAGGATCATCGGATGGGTAAGTTAAACTGTGTAGTCAGTATGACGCGATATTTTTGCGATTAATCACCAGTAGATTTATTTCATCCCAAAGTTGTTTCGGAAGATTGTCGAGACAAGCACTGTCTAATAAGTCCAGTCACACTGTCATTAGTGCTGTGTATATGGTTACCAGAACACTTGAACAAATCGATTACCAGGTAGTGACAAATTTGGTTTCTACCTTGATGGCATGTTTTATTGGTACTTTTAGTTTGATGTAGAATATTTCCAATCACTCAACACAAAGATCTACCATATTTTAAGATCGTAACTACTGTTTAGAGTGGGGTTTTATTCACGTTGGAATAACGCGTTGTACAGCAACACAGTTACCACAATATCGATCGTCTTTTACCTCATCCTGCATGGCAACTTGGACCGATGCATATATATGCCTGGTCCTACGTTACAGCTAACTGACCGACTTATCCTGCATACTGATCAATCGTAGTATCGTAAATTACTTTTTTATAGTCGATATCGAAAAATTATTTCAGTTAGTATTCGGTGACTAAGTTCATTTACCTTGCAATTTTTTTCAACTGAAAGATTCTATGCTACAATGTCTGGTTCCCTCAGGAAATAATATAGATCCTAATCTCATAGTGTATACGCGCAAGTGTAAGATTCAGTATTCTTTGTATACAACTTCTAATTAATTTGTTATTTCGTAGCGTAAATTGTTTTCACATTTTTATTTTATTCACTTATTTTTCTTCATTTTTTTTAACAGGTCTATCAAAATGTGGGATTTAAGACGAGTATTTTGTGTTGGAAGTAAAAAGCAAGCAAAACCAAAATTTATTTTACCCTATTCAGGTACTTCACAAAAACAAAGTGGTAAGTAGTTTCAATCCAAAATATTTTTTTATGGAAAGTAATCTAATGGAATAATACCCCTCAAAAATTTAACTAAAGGCATCTTTTAAATCCTCCTTATAATGTAATCCATCTTGTAAGTTTATGAAGACTTGTAAATACAGATGGTTGGTCTGAGTAGTCTATTCATCTTTTTCGAATTGACTTAATGAACAATTTGAATTGTAAATCGTCGGAATAAACTCAACATGCAGGAAGTCACTTCTAGTGCATCTTTGGTTCCTTCTTTAATATTTAATAATATTTTCTTTTGTATAACTACTTTTCGTAATGTGACCATTTTCTTAAACTTTGCAACGATGATAGTGAATATCATGGTAGTGCAATTACCAATCACTTCATTTTCCTTTCCGTTAAATTTTTCATTAAAAATAGATTTATTACAGAGAAAACTATGAAATTCAATTATCTAACTGCTACTAAATCTATTACACTTGTTTGTTATATGTATAATTGGATAATAATGATTGTGATAATCATTAAAATGCATATTTAATGTCATCCTGATCAGTGGGATCTCTTTTCACTGGGCTAAATAATTAAATTGTAACAAAAATTGTTTGTAGATGGTTTTTTTGTTTCATTATTTAATTATATTCTATGAAATCTCACATCCTTTTTTCCCAGTTTTAAGTATTATCCATCCTCCGAATTCTTTAAATAATAACAATGTTTTGTGCTTTTGTTATAAATAATCTTGTAGTGGAATTTTATTCATGACTTGTGTCCAATATTTACACGATATACCTTTTGATTTCAGATATAGTTACTTAATATTTTCACCAGTTGAATTTATGGTTTACAAGTAGTTAAGGAGCACAGTATCAACATGTTTCAGCTTCGGAAGCTGATAGCTAATGAAAGTTTCTGAAAACTCACTGAGCTATTAGTTAACATTTACTTCTATGTATAGCCAAACTTAAAAATACACACAAATCTATGTTAATCAATCAGTTACAGGCAACATAGAAATGGAAACCAATGTCCGTCAGTTCAAGTTACCACACAACATCAGAACAATAAAATGAAATCAAGTTAAATAGTAGAAAAAAGTAAAATTATAGTACTTTCAGTAGTAGTAATGAAGACCAAACATTAGAATACATCGCTCGAAAGGTAGATATCTATGAATGAATATTAAAACTCACGATTTAAGGGGAGATAAAAAGTAGACGCTACTGCAATCGATTCCGTATCATGTCACCCAACGTCTCGAACTGCTGACTGCAGTTATTCCGGATAGTTTACACATTTTGACACGGATAAAAAACACCAAACGTTTAGAAAATCCTCCGTACTTTTGAATTATCTCATGCCAATATAGTGAATAATGCATTTGTAAATTAATAGTGTGACATTACCCCCATACTCATAATACAGATAAAAGATTTGGTGCACCTGGTTAAAGACATAAGTGTCTAGTACAGATCAGAAAAGCATAAATGATTGGAAAATTAGTGTTCGTGAATGGGAATTTTATCTGAAAAATTAATAAGAGCTAAAATCAATTAGCCATATGTAATTTTAGTTCCGAATCCATGTGATTTACATAAAAGCTAATTATAGTTTTTGCATACGTGCAACTGATAAATGAGATGGAGCGACCAATAAAACATGTTTGACTTAAGATCAATTATCGGGGTCAGATAATCCTCCGTTATGATCTTGTGTCACGAATTATGTAACATGTATATTTTGTATATGTGGTTTTTTATTCGTGTTATCATTGATTGTTTTTCCCTTGTTTTACAAATTAGAAACAACTAGGACTGTTTACCGACATCATCAGTAGTTAACCGTTTATATATATCATTTCTCAGTGTGATAATGAACTTGCTTACTGTTAGAGAAGGGCTTTACGTTTTTTTGGATAAACTATCTCCTGTTTGTTAAACAGGATTCAATGATTATTAAATCACCGTCTCGAACACTGCTCAAAGCACAAGTCTGTACTTGTATGTGCTTATGGTGAAAATCCTTATAGTTATGGATGTTATTATCCTTTACATATCAAGAAATGTAGTTAGTGTTGCAAGTAACCTTGTAAACAATGGCTCCATCCAATCGTCTGTCAATGTTAATTCTTTTGCTTATTCATTATTATTGTAAATAGTTAGAATTCAGTCAGAACTAAAAATACCGGATGACTAAACTTTAGTTGAATGAATGAGGAAATTCCCTTTTTAAATCCGGTGCTTGTTTAATATTTCATTATTATTAGTTTTTAGTCTCAATGGTAATCGAAACTTATAAAATTATCAATCTTCCATTTCAGGCTATTCGGATTTGGTAGTCAATTCGTATAGAACACGTCTATTCGCCAATTGCCTAGATAATGTTGTATATGAATATGATCTGACACAACTAACTACACAACCAGGTAAGCATATATATATATATATATATATATATATATATATATATATATATATATATAGTATTTCCTTTTGCGGTTCAAGTCTAATGTTTTATATTCAACGTAAAATTATTAGCTTATATCTAAACTCATTGGAGAGTATGTAACGTTTGTCTAGTTCCTTCTAGCCTTCACTGCTCAAAAAATAATTTAAAATAAAACTTTCTACTTTTAGTAGTTTATCTGTAATGCAACAAACATACTAAGAGTTTTATATTTCTCATTCACCTTTTTTATGATCAGAGTAAAAAATAATAGTAAAATAATTTCCGATTTTACGTTTCCTTTCTCTTTTTATTCAGTCATGTATCTCTGTTTTACTTTCCAATTTATAACGTTACCCATTTGAATGTTGAAAACAATCACTAGCAATTAAACTGATATCTTAATTTTGCTGGGCATTTCTAATCAATGAGTATTTGTTTAGTTGGATGGTTTGTAGAATTTCATTCGATTTCAAGATAGTTCCTGTGGCGTGCTGACATCGACTCCAGAATGGTTAACCAAATTTTTCTCTTCATATAAGCTTGCTCTGGAACTGATTCGTACAACCCCAGTCAAAACCAAACGTAGAGCTGTGTAATCTGACAACGAGTATAATACTTATAAATTACTGGTTAAGAGTCAAATAGTTCACTGTACAACATAATTGTTATCTAAATTTGTAGATAAGAGATCGTGAGTTTTCCATCGCTAACAAGTTTCAAACTAAAATGACATAATTGTGTAATACTCTCTGTTGTTTATAGCGTCTTTAGTTAGTATCTGTCCATGACGAGAGCTATCCGTAGATGCTCATTTACTTTCACGGCATCTATGCAGTTCAATATTTCGACTGCTTCTTAGTGTAGCACAGTTGATGAGAATTCGAACGTAAATTACAATGAGTTTAAATATAACTCTCTAATTAGTATTTTCTTCCATCGTTTTCGACAGAAAATGCTGAAACAATGTAGCTATTTTTTGAATACGCAGTTAAATTTATTGTAAAGTAGTATCTTCATAGTAATATTCATTTCAATAAAAATCATATAACTTCAGTGTAAATCAGCGTGTATCAAAATAATGCCGTTTTTCGTGTTGATCGTCTGTTATTCTCTTGGAGTGTAAGTTGTGCTTTATTTCAAACACGTAATCACTATGCTATAACAATAATGTTTATCGATTTACAGATTTTATTATTTTAACTCTTTTTACTTTCCCTTTCAGTTTTCGTTTATACTGGTCATGTGACAGATTCTTTCTACGTGAAACTAGATATCAGTCCAGATGATTCCTACATCATTTGTGGTAGTTCAGATCGTCGAGCTCATATTTATGCTGTTGGTAAATGTCGACAACAACCAATAGTTCTTTCCGGTCATACTGGTGAAGTTAGTGTTCCACGTTGGTGTAAAGGTGATCCTACTAGGATTGTTACCTTGTCAGATGAATCTCAAGCATTTGTTTGGAATATGTTTCCTGCTCGACGTTATACTTTACCGGATTCGGGGGAATTAGCAGGTAGGTATTACAGTGGTTACTTTTTCTTTTCAGCACGTTTATCACCTACTCACAAACCATAATAAATTATTGATTTGAGTCTAATAAAACACTCAGTAATATACTCCTTGATTAGTGAGACTCAATTGTAACTGATTATTGGTGATTCGCTTCATCCTGCACAATATAGATAGCTAACATTTATTAAGTTGTCTGATGAAAATTTAGATTCGAACTATAATTACGCAATCTGGTATTACCCTTACACATCTGTTGATATCGATTTTTATTTGTTTGTAGTGACAAACCGTTGTTTTCATTATTCTGATGCATTGATAATGCTCACATATTGTGCAAATCTGATATTTTCCGTTGAATTCGAAGTAAACTTACGCTCACAACCAGAATATTAATCGTTTGCCATTTTAACTCTGTGAATAATACTTTCTTGATATTGCTTATAGATGCTGCTCTAACTGTTTGTTTATTTTTTTCATGTTGTTACTAATATCGCTCATGCTTCTATATCTATTAGAATTGAAATTCAGTTTTCTCCTTTAATTCTCTTTGTGTTAGTTTCCTTACTCCTTTTATATGTGATATCATTGATCGATATACTTTTACGCCAGTTCATGCATTAAAGATTATACTACCGGTGTATTCGAATCGAATTTAGCGAACTGGGATTTAAACCTTTGATCACATAGCTGAAAGTTGAGTACTTTGAAAATCAATCCACCCTTTTTACTATTGGAACCATATCCTATACCCCAAATAAAACAAATATCAAAATGTAATATTCACTGGACAGTTAACTGAGCGTATACTAGCGAAATAAAACTATAATATCTGTGTGTCATTGACTGCATTGCATATAGTTAGTCACTGGTAAAAACAGTCAATAGTGCTGAATATCTTATTGTTGTATCGATTAGTTATAACTGATTCTGCACTCAAAACTCTCCTTTAAAATTGTAAAATCGATAGGTCTCGCTGAACTTATTTCACCTTCAAAATCACTTATGAACACAAGCCAACTAGAGAAATGTATTTTACCTTCAACTACATCACAGTCGAATAATGTAAATAATAAATTAGGTAGTCTTTCGTTACCCAATTTCAATTGTCGATCACCCATGACTTCAGCTCGTCAACGACAATCAAATATCCGACATTTCCTTGAAACTGTTTCTCCAGTTAGCTCATCTAGTTCTACATCAACTACTAACAAATCTTTGGTCGCTTTATCTTCATTGTCAAACAGTATGAGTACAAATGGTGCAGTTTCAAATTCAAATCTACAAACAAAACGGTTGCCAAGTTTAGCAACCCTTACCGAAACCTTAGGTGGGGTTGTACAACGATTTCCAGGATTATCAACAGGATTTCAGAATATCCATTCTGCACCGAGTACACCTCCTTTAGGTTGTTATTCTTTGAACTCTGTCAATCGTAGTCTATTTAATAATACTCCAACAAAAATTGAATCTCCTATAACACCAGAACAGTTGCTTATTCATCCATTCTATATAGGTAGGTTTACTTTATTAATAAACTCTCCATTGTTTACCTATGAAAATACCATTGTGATAAATATATGCATATACTGTTTAGTTTGTTGCATACTTTGAGAAGTTTTCATAAAGTTGTGTTTAAATTCATTACTTCTTTGTATAACTTAGTTGAAACACATAAATAACATCAATTTTTTAGTCGATGTTTTTGAATTCATTATTCATACTTTACACTTTGTCTAACCATCTTGTCAAAACTAGTAATCTTTATGACAGTAAAGTTAATTGTCTTCTAGAAGTTTCATGTAAGAGAGTCGTTTAGTCTTACATTTATTTATGTTTAGTAATATTTACAAGATTTTTGTAAACAAGTCAAAATATGAACAACCTATGAAGAGGAAAGTTTCGATCTTTAACAACGACAAGAATAAATAAAATATGGAAGGAAAAATAACACCGACTGAAATTTATCAAAAAGAACTTGTCAGATAACAAAGGTTATAAACTAACTTCAGAAACCTGTCTATCACTTATTAAATGATTTGAATAATATTTTCTGGTTAGCGTTTTTTAGCCAGTTAGTTTCCTACGGGATGGGGTCGCTAACCTATGCCCAACCCTCTTCCTTTATCCGGGCTTGGGGCCGGCAGCCGGAGTTATCACTTATTATTATTACTTTATTTTATATACTTTTTGTTAAGACGACAAATAAAATTGTGTATTTTACTTTTTTTATTTACTCACGCATAATGTTATCAGAAGATTCTGAAAATATTAATCCAGACGATTTGTTACACTCAGTTTCATCTCAAGGTCTTCCTTTGGATTGTGTTGATGGACGAGTGTTAAACCAGTCTCCAATTATCCGTTGTGCTGTAGACAGACCTGCGTATAATCCGAATTCTCCGACTACACCATCAAAAAGATTTCCATTATCCTTAAACCAATCAATTTTTAATACTCCAGCGTCACAACCGGTAAATTAGTCGTCGTAAATAATATTTGTGACATATTTTTATAAGATAGAAATAAAATTTTCTCAGTAATTTTTATTATTACATTTGGGAAGGGGATTAGAGTTTAATGTGGTGGGTTTCTAAAGTGAAAATCTTTCAATTCACCATAGGTATTTCAAATTATTTTAACTTTAAGAAAGTAAGTTTTAATTTCACTTTTGTATGTGTTTGTTTTATTAAGCCATTGATTCAGAGTTGGTAACTCATTACTACCAGTATAGTATTAGAAAAACCATGTTCATAAGTTTCTGAAGATAACTGATGCTTAGTAAACTTTGATAACCCAGTATAGTTTTAAACAATACGGTTCAGTCAAACTTATTATCTTATATTTAGTAGGATTTTGTGATTTAACAATCTTTAACAGACATATAAAATTTTAACTCAGCAAAGAAATTGAAAAAGATGTAAATGAAGTAACAAATCATATAAAGAAGAGTTTTATATAGTAGATCATTACCTTTTAATGACAAAGATTACCCCTTCCACAAGTGAAGAATGTCAATAACATGTAACCTTGCAGATTATACCATAGGTTTTTATTCATGAGCACTGTGTTATCATTTCAACAAGATTTGAGACACACGAATGAATTTACAGGAGTTCCGGATTTTTTTACCAAACGGTCACAGATATATACTTTCTTATCAACACCTGGTTTTTAAAGTGTTTGTGTTATATACTAGAAACAGTCTTAGTTACATTTTTTCCACATTTCAGTCAGTTGATGAATTATCTATGCTGGAATCAAGAAAACGTAGAAGATCAGATATATTTGATGTTTCTCCTGGTTCAAGTCCAACTCTTGTCAATTCTGGTAGAATTGATTTACCTAATAGTGTTAATCGTGTCAGAGAAAAAAGACGTCGGTTAACTGCATTTCCATCAACTTCACAATCGGTTACTTCTCCCAACAGGTCTCCTATTGTTCCAGTGACTGTAAGTATTTCAAAACATCTTATTTTGCTAACTAATAAAGTTTTGTCCGCTACGTTCATTTCTCATCTTATTTTTTGGTCCCAACAATCCTTTATTACCTCCTCAATATACTGACTCCACCATTAACTTGTGCTAACCCAGTCTACCAAAAAACTATAAAATAACCTTATTTATCCATGCTATGTAGTACATGTTTATTTATTCATTTCTACCACACCAAATTTTCCTACTATTTGTTATTAAAAGTCACCCTTAATAAAGCTAAATGATGAATTTGAGAAAAGATGAAAGAAAACATGATCATGTAGTGAGTAATGATGCAAACAATCATGAGACATAGTTCGATGTTAAAAAAATAACCAAAACAAACACTGTTTTGTTAACGGGTGCGTCTTATTTTCATACCACTCGTTGAGAAATGATTTGCATTTTGTGAACGTTAAAAATATCAAAGGTAAGTCATCTGAAAGTGGCAACTTTTGGTTTTTTAGCAGTTGAAGTTCATTTTTAGGTTTTCACTTCATCTGTTAGATCTGTAGTCGCCGACTAAACATCACTAACTTCTCAACTTCTCTTGATGGACCCTCCGTGTCCACGGACCTGAATGTTCGCTTCCCCATGTTATTTAACAGGAGTTACTTTCTTCATGTGAGTATAATTTCCGGGTTTTCTTTAGGAGAATCGATAAGCACGTAGTCGTTGACTAGATTTCATCGGCGTAGTAAAATCTAATTCTCAACCGTACTATGGTATTTAGGAGACGTTTTAACCTAGATTTTATGTGCCATAAATATACAGAATAAAATAAATCATTTTAGTCTCTTTATAAATGTATTGTTTGCAAATTTATTATTATTACTTTTTGGTAATAGAATTCTCGGCGTCGACGAATGACAACAATGTGTCCTTCCACGCATAATCCAATCACAAAGTATTTCAAGAAAAATGACTGACGTTTTTAACAGATGCTACCTCTTTGTAATATAATTTTAACTTGTAGATATTCTTTTCTTGTATGATCCCCTACATTTTTTTTATGTAAGCCAGTTTTTAAATTTTTTATCCTTATGCATTTTCTTTTCCTCATAACAAACTAAATTTTGACTTATGCACGTTTACGTGTACATTTCACCATACAGTGATATTTTGATATGTGTATAACTTTGCAACTGGGTTTCTTCATTTTTTTAAATAACGTTTTATACCTCAACACGTACTGATCTATTTTTAGAATTTTATACAATACTGTTTTGTAAAACTTAACCTTTTTGCTTTACATTAAATTGTATGCAGTTGAGACCCGACCGTAGCTGCTACCTTGACGTGGTGGTCGGGCTTGCCTATCGTGATGACCCAACCGAGCTATATTGGCTGGAACACATGTTCCTGCAGGTTCTACCATGTCAGGCAGATCCATTGGAGAACGGTACGACTAAAAGCGAAGTCGTACTGCTGACTGTACAGAGGTGTGACAGCAGTAAGGTGTTTCCCTCGGACAACCAGCATCTGCAGCGATGCTGCCTTCTCACAAGGAAGGAAGGGGTTAGAAAAGGTTGACCCTAAAAATGTCACACCTCACCTTACCCCACGGATATCCGTCTCCGACGGTAAGGCCGTTTGAAGAACGGAGCTAACACATTAAAAACCTGCCACAAAAAGGCCGTGCGCGACCAGCCTCAAGCAGTTGTCCCTTGTGCTCTGTAGTCACGCACCCAGGTCTTCAAGACCAACACTAGTCCGATTTCCTTTTCAGGTCCCTTAAGAAATACCCTTCCACGGTGTGGGCAGCCAGGAAGTGATATCAGCCCTCATACACGTAACAGCACACGAGACCAAGTTGGTCACATTCAAATCCTTCCTACACCCAATAACTCTTATTTCCACGACTAACCCTTCTTACTTCCCTTTATCACCTCGCCCCACTAGTGCAATCGATTCGAGTACGCGGAATGTTATTCCTGGTCTCCTGAAACCACGCCCCAAACTACACGTTGGAGCTTTCAATGTCCGAACACTGCCAAATAGGACAACAGACTTCCTTAGCTAGGACTTTATAACCTCGCTCCATTGATGCGTGCTGCGTCTCCGAAACGCGCACACAGGATCCTAGTAGTGTCATTCATTTGACCGCACCATGTCAAAGCAACGAACCAACTCGATATACGCTTCGTGTATCTGGAAGCCATGATGCTACTTCCCGTGACCCCGCTGGCGTAGGTATAGCATTGAGTCCTAGGGCAGAACTAGCTCTCTTAGACTGGATCCCAGTAGACAGTCGCTTGTGTGCTGTCCGACTAAACGGAGCAGTAAGGACTCGAAAAGATAGGGACACTTGTCGTTGCCTCTTCGTCGTCTCTGCCTACTCTCCCACTGACTGCAGCTCACATGATGTAAAAGATGAGTTTTATAGAAAGCTCTCCAACCTTCTCCGAAAAGCTAGGCGTTCAGATGTAGTAATAGTGGCTGGTGACTTTAATGCTCAAATAGGTAAACTAAGCGAAAAGGAAAGACACCTGGGTGGATCTTATGGTGTCGCGGCTCAAAGAACAGATAACGGCGACCGTCTGTTGCAGCTATGCTCAGATAACCGCCTGTTTCTTGCAAACACTAACTTTAAGCATAAGGAAAAACATCTTTTAACATGGCGACCCCTTAATTCGTCCCAACGCTGGAACCAAATAGATCACATCGCTATCAGCCACCGATGGAGGGGCTCGATAGAAGACTGTCGCTCATTCTGGAGCACATGCTTAGACTCAGATCATGCTCTAGTGCGAGCGCGTATTTGTCTACGTCTTACTGGACGTAGGGAAGATGGTACAAGGAAACCCCTTAGGGTCCTACTTAATGATAGTCAAGCTAAGAGTATATTTCAGGAACAACTAGAAAAACAGTTAGACAGCCATGTAAGTGACGCCCACCCCGAGGCAGCGTGGAATGACGTCCGAAAAGCTGTAGAAACAGCTGTGATGTCTGCAAGTACGGTAAACCATAAGGTTAGGGAGAAACACTGGATCTCAGCAGCATCTACCGCACTGATAGATGCTCGAAAACTCATTCCACCTGGCTCTGAACATAACGAAGAGCGGAGTCAGCTTAAGCGTGAGCTGACTAGAAGCCTCCGCAATGATAGTGAACAGTGGTGAGTAGCGAAAGCAAGAGAGATGGAAAAGGCAGCGGCAATAGGTAACAGCAGGCAACTGTTCAGACTTGTTAAGGAAACCGGTATTAGGAGCCCAAATATTAGAGAAACAATCTCAGAGAAAGATAGACATATTATTCATTCTCAATTCAGGAGATTGGACCGATGGGCAGAACACTTTAGGGATCAGTTCAACTGGCCTTCAGCCACACTTCGGTTTCCCACGATCTCCAATCTACCTGAATGGCAAGTTAATGTGAATCCTCCGACTCTTTGCGAAGTTGAAAAAGCTATAGGTAATCTGAAGCGTGGGAGAGCAGCAGGCCCTGACAGGTTTACCCCTGGGATTTTTAAGGATGGCGGTCCAGTATTAGCAGCGAGATTGACTGAGGTCTTAGGTAGAATCTAGGAACTGGACGTAATCCCATCTGACTGGTCTCAATCACTGATTGTGCCAGTCTATAAGAAAGGACAAAAGTCCTCCTGTGACAATCACAGAGGAATTAGTTTGACTAATATAGTGTCTAAAATATTAGCTTCAATAATACTTCGACGTCTAACCAAAGCTCGTGAAGAGCAGACTAGAGAAAACCAGGCTGGTTTTTGACCTGGACGTGGTTGTATTGATCAAATATTCACATTACGTCAGGTCCTAGAACATAGACACACATTCAGACGCCCCACAATGGTAGTATTTCTCGACCTTAAGGTGGCGTTTGACTCTGTTGATCGTGAGGTTCTATGGCAGTGTTTGTCACTGAAAGGAGTACCAAAGAAGTACATCAACCTTATAAAGGCTCTCTACTCGAACACAACCGGTCGAGTGAAAGCTTATGACGAACTACCATCAGAATTGATTACCTCAAGTGGTGTTCGTCAGGGATGTCCACTCTCTCCATTCTTGTTTAACTTTGTCGTTGACGTCCTTTTAGAGATGACACTTTCCTCATCTAAATTTCCAGGGGTTGAACTTCTACCGGGAGATCCACTTGTTGACTTATTGGGGTTGGAAGAGTCGTAAAAATCGCTCAACTGCAATACGATGAATATTTTCCAATTATAACGTTCTAGTGGTAATAACTACTGATTGCATGCTTCCTCTCCCCTCCACTACTATAGTTTCATAATTGTTGAAAAAACCTTTATAGTTCCAATTATTTTTGAAAAATAATGTTCGCTCAAAGATCGAATTATGATTTCATCTTGCCACAATTAGTCATGTACTGACTTTTCAGACCCTAAAACGCTTGCAGTTGTTCTGTACAAGGTAAATAGGTAGTATCTGTTGATATGGCTGCAAGGTTGTCTAGTCTGTGTTTATGTAATACATAAATGTATTTAATATGATAAAGCATGTAACATTGAGTGACCACACATGCATGATCAATTCATGGAGTCTCGGTTCCCCATATGTCCACCATATCTTACTTTCTCCAAGTGTTTAATGTTTAATGTAGGTCTTCTGAGTTATCATATGTTTATTTTCAAGAATCGTATGGTTAAGAACCAGTGATTCTACCCAATATTTGGTTATGACGGATGTCACATTGATTTGTTTCCTTTTTCGTTATATTGCTTGAGTCAACTGGTAATGTGCATTTTGGATAGTGAATGGAAGCACCTTTCCAGAACTGGAAACATTTGCTGTAACAAGTAATCACACAATCCTTGGTACTCTTTCGCCGACGCTTTTGTAGAGTTAAATATTACTTTCTGAACGCACTGTACGTGGTCAGTTCAGAAAGGATGGGATGATAGCCCTGCACAAATAGAATGCTTATTTTTAAAACTGGTGAGCATGTGATATCCCATATTAATTTATGTACTTGACGCAATTTCATTATCTGAGTTGGTTGAGCAACTGAATGGTAATATTAGTTTAGGTAAGTGTGGATCTAAATTTATACAGTATAGTTTCGTATTTAACTAGATTGCTTTGAGTTTACATTGGTTAGAAACAGAAGTTTAAAGTAACCTTCACAACCCGCATCGGTTTGAGACCAACAGGAGAAACGTGTGAACTTGAAATAGTGTAACGAATTAATACTAATCCTAGTTGGTGCAGAACTTCGACAAGACTCGGATATGAAGTGCGCAGTATGAAAATGTTCTGTTTTATTAGAACATGAAATATATAATTACATAGTACTTCAACTAGTTATTCACACGGCCTCCTGTCTAGACTTAATCGGGATTCTGTCAGACCTCAACTGGTCAGCATTCTGATTTTCACTTTCTTCATCGGTCTGGATTATCTGAACCAATAAAGTTGAAATTTCAGCTATCCTTTTGAAGTCCAACATTTTCTACAGGTTAAGGATTGGTCAGAGCACTGTAACAGTCAAAATCTTTTCCTTAGTCTTTATACATTGGACTATCCATTTCCTGAATAATAATTCCCGTAGACAGTCAGTAGTCATTTTTTCGATAAATCAGTACTTCTGGTGATTTTTTTATTCATTGAATAATTTAGAACTATGCGACAGTGAACATTTTAGATGATATCATAATTCCCCAAATGTTGAACTTGACGATATTTAAGTAAGAAATTGTCGATGCATTTTCCTATCGCTGATATGATAGGACTCTCAAGAGTTTGGGCACAATTTCCTGTCAAACAATTAGACTGAGAATGTTGTGGATGAGATATAGACGTCGGTATCCAATATCATTGAGTCAGTCGATAAACGCTTTCTGTGAAGTGACTTCCATTATCCGTTGCTAACACATGGGGTATCTTCTCACGACTATATGTCTTCCTCATTGCTCTTTGCACAAAATTTCCGCTAGAATGTCTGTGAGTATAAATTC